AAGTAATATCTAAATGGTTGTCAAGTCAGGATGCCATCTTAGGATAATATATTGAAGCCTAAGGTCTGACTTGGCTACAAATTATATTATAGCCTTCGCAAGTTGTAAAGCTGAATTCTTATTTTATTCCTCCRAAAATCTTTAGTCTTCCATTACTTTTTTAGTGGGTACTTAATAATAATTTGTATATGAAAACTATCCAAGTCAGATCTTAGGCTTCAATATATTATCCTTAGCACCCATTTAGATCTCACTTCTTTTGTCGTTAAAATCAACAACCAAGGCATGTATTATACTATTGAACTTTGCTCTCATTTTACATATATGTTTTTGGTGGGATATTTATTACTTATTTAGCCATAGTTCAAAAACTATTTATTACTAATAATGAATACTAGTTAATAATTATTATACAAAATAATTACATTAAAAAATCAAAATTAAAATTGCTATAAATGTTTTATATAACTGAAAAAATTTCTTTGCACTTATGGCTTATGCTGGTTTCAAACTTCTTTCTAGTTACAATTTATATACCTTTGTTTTAATTTTATCATATATAAATTTTTAAACTGGAAATAAAAATAAAAACTTCGCTGATCAATAAATTTATAAACTGGCCTTACCTATCATCATTAATCAAAAAAAAAAAAAAATTGTTTCAAAAGTTTACTAGTTAATACCGTAGTTAATATGTTTTACCCTATAACTGGTTAATGATGAACTTTTTTGTATCATAATAAGCAATCTGAAAATTAAATGAATCCTTAAACATTGAATCCATGTTAATTACATTCTAAATAACTGCTTAAGAAAAAGCATTTTTATCAAACACCACAATATTTAAAATATTTACTCACCTTTTTATTGTATTCAAGAATTATAACTAGGTATACTCTAAAGTTATTATTGTTGATTATCAGACAAGATATAATTCACTGTGGTAAAGTACTGTTCGTCTTTCTTATTTATATGTTTTTTTGTATACATTTAGCCAGAAGGTCCTATTATAAATACCAGTTTTTATAATTATTTTTATCTCGTATTTGATCTATTGATATATTTTGATGATGTAATTCACATTAAAAACATTAAGCAGTTAATTGATWTATATWCATAAACATATTTAAGGAGGGGAAGTTAGTCCTTGTTCCTGATAATTTATTGTTACCTACCCATTAGTTTTACTTTTATACCTAGACTTCTTATCTAAAAAATTAAAAAAATCTGTTTTGAAATGTAAAAAATATATAAAATATAACAGTGTTCATAAGCACTTAATCTAAAAACCAACTAATTCACCAACTTTTATATTATTATGATATACTTGTCTATTTGCTTAATATAATGTAGGGTACCTATACAGTAATCTTTTATCTGTGGAATAGGGTGACACGGCAACTATGAATAAGTGAATTTTACATTCAATCTCTAAAATTAAAATTAAAATGATATCTTATAATGTTTTATATTTATATATAAACTATTATATCACAATTAATATGTCATATTTTTRTTGTTAAAGCATCAATACAGACAGAAAAAAAATTAAATAATAAAAGGAGTTTTATTATTTTAAAACTTAATTTATATTGTATTAAAAAAAAACTTATTTTAGTTTGTACTTTATACAAATATAATGTAGTATTTTTTATTCAATTTCTTTAAAATTTGATTTGGTATTTAGTTTTATCAGTTGTTACATTACTTTCGATAAAAGTCTAACCGTTAACTGTTCTATGTACTTCGTTAATCTTTACTTACAATTATTACAGATAATATGGTTGAAGATAATGTGATACAAGAAGATGAAAAAGATGTTATACTACCTGCTTCAGAAAATAATGCAAATATGAATGTTACGGTTGTTTTAGAAGAAATCCCTGATTTTAAACCTAAAGCAACTGAGTTAGAATCTGAATCAGATATAGCTGAAGATGAATCTGAATCGATTAAAAAACCTGTTCAAAAAAAAGTTACTAAATCAAAACCCAAGTCCAAAAAACAAACAGTTGAAGATACCAAAGTAGTAAAAACTAGAAAAAGAGCTGCTAGTGAAGATCGGCAAGTATTGAAAATCGAAGAAAAAGTAGTTAGTAAAAGTCGAAAAAGACCAGTTGATAAAAATTTACCAGAATCTCTAAAACCAGTTTCTCCTTTAAACGAACTACCAAAAAGAAATAGGAGAGCAGCTAGTGTGGATATACTTTCATCTGAAACTTCATCAGATAAAGTACCCAAAAAAAAAGTTAATAATAAATCCTCTAAAGCTGCAATTGTTGCAACTGAAGATGATGCACAAAAAAAACAAAAAAAGGGAATAAAGAAGGAAGAACAACCTAAAATAATGGAAACAAAAAATGATGAAACAAAAATTTTAGAAAAAAATTCTAAGGGGAAAAAGAATACAAAAAAAGTATCAAACGAAGAAAAAGAAAATGTTGTAACAACAGAACAAAATGATACGGAAGTAGCTTTAAATAGCATTCAAGAAAAACCAAAATCTAAACGAGGCATTAAAAAGGTCAAAATAGACGTAAGATAAATAATTTCTTTTTAAACAAATAATTTTGTGTGTATATTTTATATAGAATCACTATAAAAATATCTTCATTGATTTTTTAGTCAAAATTAAAACTAATTTGGTGATGTTAAAGTGTCATTAAAGTTAATATACATAATATAAACTAGTGATTTACTGAAAAAAGAAATAGCTATTCATATCAAATAAATCTTATAGTTCACTTATTATGTGTGAAGATGATTTCTATAAGATTTATACTCAGTCTTACTTTTATAATTTCATATATTGAAATAATTGTTTTAAAATTTAAGTTGTGCTACTTCTCAGTTAATTCAGTTTTTGTGTGTATAATTAAGACTAGGATTTTAATGYCCTAAATATTCTGAATAATAATGTACTGGTATGTACTAAAAAAATGCGCCATTTTTAATAATTTCAGCATACATTTTTCTTAAATATTAATATATACTTTAAGAGGATGCCACACCCGCATGTGTTGTCTCCGTCGTACAAGTGCGTAGCATAGCAAATTTTACGCTCAGCAGATCATGTTTATCTCCGTTAATCTAAAATTTTGAGTGAATTGTCCTATTATAAAAATTAAAGGCAAGATTATTACCGAGGGCATCTTATRGGCTTTTTATTATATTTTAATTTTAAACCGAGTTATGAGTATTTTTAGATATAAAAATAATTCACAATTTTAAAATAGTCATAACTCTWAATTTTAAATTAACGGAGATAATCGTGATCTGCTGAGGGTAAAATTTGCTATGTTACGCACTTGTACGACGGAGACAACACATGCAGGTGTAGCGTCTTCTTAAGAGGATGTGATACCCGCATGTGTTGTCTTCGTCTTACAAGTGTATAACRTAGCAAAAGCTGTTTCGTACGGCAAATAATTGAGAAGTCTACAGTTATAACTAAGAAACCAAATTTTCACTATGAAAAAAGGAGAATTTTAACTGTAACACAGTCTTTTTATTTTTTTTYGATAATACCAATATATCAAAAGCTATTGAAGTTTGAAAAATTTAAAAATATCAGATTTTTAAAAGTATTATAAAATTTTTCTTTTTAAAGATATCAAACAAATCAAAATGTTATGTCATAGAAAATATTATTTTCTATATTGTGTTAACTTTTGGTGTTTCTACTAAGAGTACAGACTGAGAGGTTCTGTCATGCGCCAAACAGTTTTTGCAATGTTACACACTTGTAAGTTGTAAGACAGATATAGCACATGCATATCACCATAGAAAATAATAGAAGYGACAGTCAAACAGCTGATTAATTTGATTTCATTTTGCCGGTGGTTCGGCATGAAGTTGGCAGTGGAGGCTYGGCATGATGTTGTAACCGTATTGTAATTTAAAATCTGTAGCATGTTTTGACTGTTTTCACTTTTTWCTGTGATATTGATAATWTAAATTTTTAAAAATTAGGCAATACATTAAGCATTGCGATACGGTTACAACAACATACTGGTCATTTTCTGCCAACATCATGCCGAGCCTCCAGCTCAAGGTCAATATAAATATTTTTCGGTGATCAATGGGATTTTRATAGMTGTCACTTCTATTATATTCTATGATATCACGTCTTCTTAAAGGATTATAAAAGAGCTTTAATAAAAAATAGGACTGATTTTTATCGAATTGTTTAATCTGGAAGAAAAATTTTTCCATAAATTATTATTATTTTATTTTTTTAGGTTTAGATCTTCCATTTATTTACCTGTATATAGTTATAGTTTAATTTGTATAACAATCATGGAGAAATCTATCTTAAAATACAATTTTATATATATTAGATAATTTTTCATACATCATCTCTCCACATGTAGTTAGAATTCTAAAATGTCAGTGGCGCCTCATGTTTTAATGTTATATTTGTTTTTGATGTTTCTATCGTTTCTTTTCAGTGTCAGTTATTAGGACAATAATATTTATTTTTGTATTATTAACTGTCTTATAAACAAATCTATTTTGATATAATGTTAAGTTTGTTTAGCATTTGATACCAAATCAAACTTAATTTAACATAGTATTGGTTACAAGGTACTCTAATCTCACTTACAAAGTTTTTTTTTACGAATTAAGCGAAAAAGTTAAGCATCTTTTTTAGTACATAACAATTATTAAAAGAGAACCAAAGATAAATTTATTTTATCTATTAGTATTTTGGTTTCATATAAATATTATATTGTTTTTAATATATATCCTGAATTTTTTCTTATTTTCTTATTTAAAGACCACAAATTCTTTAGTTTTTAATTTTATTACATATTTTTATTCATTAGGTAATAAATCACATGTTCTTTAAAGACATCGCATATTTTTTAATTTTGAATAATATGTCTATACAATTTATTCATTGTTCAAACATTCAGTTCAGTGGCATCATTTGGAAAAAATATCTGAGGTTGCATAAATTACACACCCGCAACATTATAAGAACAAATAATATCTTAATATGTACATATTATTATATTCTACTAATATAAAATACATTATTATATAATTCTATATTCTTCTTCTCATATATAGATAAATGTCATTAAAAACTATAAATTTTAAATTTTTATAATTAATATATAGCTACAAACATTACTTTTATATAAATTTTAAATCGTATAATCTTTAATAATTATAATTGCTTTTAATTTTATAATTGAAGCAATCTCATTGTTGTTTTCTRTTTTAATATATTTATAGTAACAATAAATACATTTACCTATTGGTTATTACCAGGGCTCGTAAGTTCATGCACTGAAAAATGCACAAATAAGCATGCATTCATGCCCTAAAAATTAGCAAAATATGCACTAAAAAGTTTGAAAATATGCATTTATATGCYYTAAAATTATTAAATTATGCACTGAAAATATGCATTATGTAAAAAACCATGAGCAAATTTTAAAATAATTATAATATATCCATTAATTTTAAGTGTTTTATTAATTTTAATTTTTTTACATTTAATTAGTAAAATAAAAAAAAATGAATAGGTACTTGTGAAATTCATAATAATATATCTTTGTTATCTAATTTTTGTACATCATTATTCAGCACCTACAATTAAAAAATTTGGAATTTAATATTAGGTATTTCATTTTGAGATATATTAGTATAATATTTATAAAAATTATATTTACTTAAGAAATTACACTGTATTATTAGCATTTTTTTTATGTTTTCCAACTTAAAAGATTGGYGATTGTCTATCAATAAGTTTTTGAGCATTGAAAAAGATCTTTCTTCATCTGCTGAAGCAAGGGGTGCATATTCGAAGTACAATAAATCATTTGCAGTCATATCATCAGGTAGATCTAAATTTGCAATATTGTCTTCTTCGCCACTCAAAACTTTGGAAATTTTACAAATTATGTTGTACCCGATATTTTTGTCCAAAACATATTTTAGTTTTTTTTTAATTTCAATTTCGTGATTTCCTTCTAACTTTGTAAATGTATCTKKGATTTCTTCGACTATTCTAGGTAGTCACAGGAGAATAATAGATAATAAATAGAAATACTATWATTTTGTAAACGGGAAAATAAATAAGAAACAAGAAACTTTTCAAATATTTGTCTAAAAAATGTTTTCATGAAATAATATGCGCTAACAACTGTAAAAAAYSRACTATATGCCAAATATGCTTTAACACCCAAAACATTCAAAAACATGCACTATTAAACTTTATATTATTGTTACTACTGTTATGAAACCGATTTGTATCTCAGTTAGCATGTTTTCCTGTTTAGCAGAAAAAACATGCGGATGCATGAACTTACGAGCCCTGGTTATTACTTACTATTTAATATTTTGTAACTTATGCATTATGTACGAGGGGTATTACCAGTGGGTGACTTCTCCTAACATGTGATTCACGCTATGTTCATATTATAATATTATTATCGTAATGACTTATTGTACAAATTTATGTGTATAGATTATCTTTTTTCTATATGCAATAAAAAAAGAAAAGTAACTAATACATTTATAACTTATATCATAACATAACTCAAGGGTATTAATTAATTAATAACTTATATTAAAAAATAATAATAACTAATAAAATGTTAAGAATAAAAATAAAGATTTAAAAATTATTAAACTAACGATATGGTATTGTAAAGTCAAATTGTTTTATGACTTCATCATTATAAACTATTTAACAATATTTCTTGTTTTATTTGTAAAACTCCTAATAATTTGTTGTACAAAAGCAAAATATATTAAATACTGATAGACGATAATAATTACATTGTCAACAATATGATGGCAATATGAAGTTTTAATCTAAAAATAGATTCATTTTTATTTAACGTATTATAGTAAATTGTAATAAATTGTATAATTTTTTCATCCTCCAAATTTTTAATTAATTTTTTAATTAATTAATAAACTAAATAATTACCCACCTAATTTTATTTTTTTTTTTACTATCTAGCGATAAACCGTAAATATGGAAATTTCGTAGGTGGCAAAATAATACTGTTGCGACCCCTACGTAATATTTGGGGTCGTAAGTGCGACCTCCCAATTATACCACTGATTCATATTAATATAATTAAAAATATAATCCACACGACTCACAAATCCAGGTTGACTAACTATATAATTTTATTTTTGTTGCAAAAAGCCTTATGAATTGCAAAATATATGATATAAACATCTRTAATAAAATTGATATATTGAACATATATCAGTTAACACCAATATTTTTGTAGGTAGCATACTAAACCACCAAAAGAGTATAGTAGATAATGTATTACTATCATTTATCAGTCATATATTGCTTTTAATTTATGATAGGTAATATTTATAGATTTACAATTAAATAATTAAATGGTTTGTTCATTTAAATTTCTAATTATTTTTAGTTTTGTTTCTTATCAGGTGGCACTACTGAAGGCCTTCCTTTTCTAATATTCTTAATGTCATACAAATAAAATTTTGTCATCATACTTACTGGTTATTGTAAAAATAGATTGTAAATATATTCTTTTAAATAAAAAAATAAAAATATTTAACTCAAATTATTTTTAGTATTTATAATTGCTTTCATTTTTAGGAATTGGTTGAAGATGAGGTTGAAGATAATAAGGAAGAAAAGGTACCCAAACCTTCAAGTAGAAGCAGAGCAGCTTCAAAAGTTATGGTTAAACAAAACATCGAAAAAGATTCAGAAAAAAAACAAAAAAGAGTTCCTAAAACCAAAAAAAATATGAAGTCATCTGAAGGATCTGAAGAGTCCAGTGAAATAAATGAGACTGATGATTCTAATAAATCTCCAGAGATAAAACCGAAACGTGAGCGTAAATTCAAACAAATTGATGTTGAGCAAAAAGATAACGATTTCAAAGAAATTAAAGCACCAAAACGCGGTGGTCGTAAGGCTAAAGTTGAAGACCTCGATGAAGAAGAAGTACAACAGAAGAGCCCTACAGCAGAGCATGAAAGTAACCAAGAATCTGGAGACACGGTTGATGATCTTCCGGACACCCCAGAGTCCGAAAAAAAAGAGGTCAAACCGATAGCAGCAAGGCGTAAAACAAAAACAAAGTCCAAGAAATAATTATTACAGAAAAACTATTTACAAACTTAAAATTACATATTAAAAGTTTTTATTTTTATTTTTTTTTAAAGAATACATCACATTTTTTAATATAATTTAATAACAAATGTTTACATTTGAGTATAAGATTTAATAATATGTTAATTATTTACAAGTTAGTTTTATTTTAATATATTTTCTCATCATTTTGACCTTAATTCCCAACATCCATTTATTCGTTTGACCTTTTCGCCTTTAGAAGATAGTATTTCTTCAATGTTTTTATATCCTGTATCTGGAAACCATCCCAAGTTATCAGCTATCAAATGGTTGTTTCTGCACCCATCGCATTCCACGATAACAATTCCTTTTTCATATGAAAGTTTTGAAAACCTTCGGGTGTTCCTCGTGTTGCACACAGTGCAAGTAAAACTTATTTGCATTTTGCCTGCAAGTTCATTATCGGATTGTTTCTCGTGGTTGTGGTTTTGTACAGATGGCAATGACGCATAAAAACGAATTTGGTCGGTTGTTGGTGTCGTACGGATAGCAATTTTCAACGGAGAACGTAGTGCCGAGTTTTTTATTTGATTCAAAGCACAATAATTCGTAACCAAAGAAGTTAATCGACGAAAGTTAGAACGAATCATGATTTTTGAAGTTTTTGAAGTAATTTTTAAATATTAAACCGTAAATGTAAAACGATCCGGATTCAAAGATGGAAATCTTATCACTGACATGAATTGTTATCGCATGTTTTGTTATTGATTTTTAAATTTTTAATCAATAATTACGTGTGATAATAAAACAAATAAGATAGTGTATCAAAATGGCTAATGCAAATATTACAAAGTTCATTTGAAATTCTCACAAAAGTACGACGAAAGTTAGAACGAATCATGATTTTTGAAGTTTTTGAAGTAATTTTTAAATATTAAACCGTAAATGTAAAACGATCCGGATTCAAAGATGGAAATCTTATCACTGACATGAATTGTTATCGCATGTTTTGTTATTGATTTTTAAATTTTTAATCAATAATTACGTGTGATAATAAAACAAATAAGATAGTGTATCAAAATGGCTAATGCAAATATTACAAAGTTCATTTGAAATTCTCACAAAAGTACAATCCTTTGTTTAACCTTTTTTTGTGGAAATTCAAGTGTGACTAATATGGATTTACTGTAATTGTTTTCCGAACAACTACTGTTGTAGGTGTTAATCGRACATATTTTAACCATTATGTCTTGGTTAAATTCCTTAAAAGTATTTTTTACCCCCGATAAAAATCCTAATAAAGTTATTGAAGTAAAAGCAGAAAAATATTCTAATCGTAATGTTCACTATCGTCATGACCCGATTATTTTGTATGCAGTTGATAATAATAATGTCAGTGAAATTGTCTTGCATTTATCGCGTGCGGAGAGCTTAACTACTTCTTACAGGTCTTGCATTATTTTAATAAGTAGAGTATTGACTTAACGTTCATATTTATAACCATATGTTTCAATAGTTTATACAGAGGATCAAGTATAGAAGATTCAGAAATAAGATTTTGTATACTTAAAGACAAATTACCAGAAATTCTCAGTTTATCCAAAGATGTAAGTAGATTATCTCAATGGAATAACTATCAAGTTATTTGACAAACTTATATTTATTCTGTAGTGTTATTGTTTATCCGTAATACAAAATTTATGTGATACTCTTGTTCAACACCCAACATGGAATGTTGCACATCTGGTTGTGAGATTGGCGATGATAGACATTTTACCTAACCCAAATATTATGATGTAAGTTTTTTACCTACCACTTATGAACATTTTTCAACATTAATATATTGTATTCATACCTTGTATTTTTATTTAAAATGTTATCAGGTACTTAAATACTCCAGATGTTGAAACTGGTATATCATCATTACAATTAGCAATTTATGATAATTCATTGGCTGTTGTCAAAGCATTAATTGCTTTAGACGTTTCTTTGGAGCACTTGGATAATGAAGCCAATTCAGTTTTTCATTATGCTGCTAAATCTAGTAGTGATATAATTTTGGTTAGGTCATAAGTATATTTTTACATAAATTAATTGTATATAATCAACTAAAAATATTATAGGTTTTATCTAAAGTGAGCACTAAATGCTTAAACTATCGTAACATAAATGGATTTACTCCCCTTCACTTAGCGTGCCAAGCAGACAAACCAGAATGCGTTAAAGAATTGTTAGTTTGCGGGGCTGATGTAAATATACCTGCTGGAGTTCCTGTAACTAATGTATCTGAAAACAAATTACCAGGAATTGTTAAAGAATATCTTCAAGATAATCATAAAAAATTATTTGTTGAAGTAAGGAAAAAATATTATTTTGTAAGTACATTAAAACATTGCAGAATGACTCAACTTGTTAGACTTACATATAAATTCTATTTCAGTTTTAATTGGTTATGTTACAGATTAGATTTATGCATAGGTAGTAGGTACTAACCTTTAAAGTTTTATTGTTCTATTAAACTTTAATTTTACTAGCCATGGTTGTAAAATGCTATGCGTTAAAATTAAATTTTATTTATAAAACTAGGTTTATGCTTTCTAGGTGCTCATTTTMATTTTTATTTTATAATTATTATTAAAAAATTATCTTATTTTTTTTTAATGGTTAGTTTTAATTTTATGAATAAAAAAATATAAATATATCTTTACTTAATTGATTGATTTTTCTAGGATATGAAGTTTGGTGGAACTCCTTTACATTGGTCAAGTTCTCGTGAAGTAATTGACAGTTTAATTGCCAACAACTGTGATATAAATGCATTGAATTTTGATAAGCGCACTGCTCTTCACATAATGGTAAATTATTATTCAATATTTTGTAAATTAGGTATATAATTTTATAATATTGATTTTATTTATAATTTACATAGATTATGTTATACTACTTTTGTTTTAGGTTTTGAGAAATAGATTTGATTGTATTATGGGATTGTTGTGCAATGGAGCTAATGTAAATATACCTGACCAAGAAGGTAATACACCACTTCATTTGGCTGTCAAAAGCAATTTGGTACCAGTAATTCATGCTCTTATTGCATTTGAAGCCGATATCAATTACATGTGTGTTTATTTTAAATTTGATATTTATATATTAAACATTTTTTATGTATCTTAAATGCATAGAGTGCTTTATTCATATTTTTATAAAAATATARACATTTTTTATTGTTCTTTTTAGTAATAATAAAGGCATAACTCCAAGACATATTGCTGCTACCAATGATGGTCCAGATAGAATTTCTGATAAAATTGTGTATATTTTGCACGCAGTTGGCGCAAAACGGTGTCTAAATATTTTATTGGAAACTGAATGTACAAATGGATGTGCTTGGAATAAAGAATTCAATGGCTTACCACCACAAAGGCCTATATCAATGCCAGTATGTACATACTAAGTTTTTTTTTTCGTTATTGACCWTGCGTTAAATTGCAATATTATGTGTTTAATAAAAGAAAAACATGACATTGGTGCTTAGAAATTGCATACAATGTGGTGATAAAAAAACATGTATCTTGCATTTTATCTATTTTTGTTTATAAGTATTCTACTTAATAATAAATTAATATATGGTTAAAATTGCAAGCATAATAAACATTGGGATTGGTAACTAACCGACTAATGAAACTTATATTTATATTTTAAAATAATATCAACCAAGTCATCAAAATACACAGTTTATAATTTTAAACACTAAAACAATTGTTCTTTTACAGGTTAGATGTATTGTGACAGCGATGGAAGAACTCATGGATGAGAGAATAGATCTTAACAAGAATCATAGAGGTGGCAGAGTTTTATGCCTCGATGGTGGCGGAATTAGAGGATTGGTGTTGATATCTATTTTACTTCATATAGAAAATGCCACTAAGGTTCCTATTATTCATTGTTTTGATTGGATAGCTGGCACAAGTACTGGTGGAATATTGGCTTTGGGACTTGCATGTGGTAATTGTATTGTAATATTATGATACTATAGAAACTGCTTATAATGACATTTAAAGGACTAGTCAAAATTAAACATAATAATTAGGGCAGAGAACTTGAAACATTTGCATATTTATTTTCCACAGTCACAAAAATAGCAGAGTACAATACAAATACATTTCATGCTTTCACAAAGCTAGTTTTGAAATTTTATTGTGCAAGTAAATGTATATTTTGGGATTTTTTGGTTTTTAAGAAATATTTTACACTTTTATACACTATTTTATACTTTTTGAGACATATTTTACTTAAATTGATTTTTTCCACTGTGACATTTTTATTTCAAACAATACACTTAAAATGTTAAGTTAAAAATGTATTTATTTAGGTATAATTTTTGTTGTCTAATATGGTTTTTGACTGTCTACGGGCACACTTTTTTCGCAGTAGTGATAACAATCTAATGTTGTACATTACCTACATCCGCACCACGTGGGCTATTTTTCAATTAGGATTTATTTATAAAACGTTTCTATACTTGACAATAATCAATATTTTAGTATTTAGTCTCAGTCAGTTCTGYGGCATGTACATTAGTGTTAAAAAAAATTTTAAGTGTATAAGTCCTTACATATTTAGGGTTTTTTAAAGCTACTAGTCCTTTGCCCTAATAATAACCTATTGTCACTATAATCAAAACGATAAAATAAATTTTAAAAACTTAATGTATTATTTTAAAATTAAATTTACGTTGTATTAAAAAATCTGTTTACTTAGTTTGTACTTTATTTGTATAAAAATCATGCAGTATTTTTAAAACTTTTTAAAATTTGTTATATTTTAACTTTTGATAAATGTATTAAATAGTCGTTATAAATTAAAAACTTTTCCAATATAATCAATAATAAGTCATAACATCCTTATAGTCATGATATTCGATACAAATTAATAATTACATTCTGGTAATTATTTAGGTAGGATTTTCAATGTAGGGTCATTACTCCCAATATGTCATTATAAACAGTTTCTACTATAGTTTATAGATCATTTTGTTTTGTTAATTGCGATGTGTATAGTGTATACAATTTTAAAACCAGGATAAGCTGAGGAAAAAACATTTACAGTTTTTAAAAAAAATTTGCTTATTTTCTTTAAAATTTAATATAAGACCTATTTTTATTAACTAATAAAATAATATGGGGGGACGAGGTGGCCGAGCGGTCTAACGCGTCGGCTGTGGCTCAGCCGGACCGGGTTCGATCCTCGACCATCGGGCAAMATTTTTTTCCGGGCAAGTCACGGTGTCCGGAGAACAAGTGCCGCCATCCCCTCCTCTGGGGCATGGCAGAAACCTACGGGTGCCCCAATAAAAATTCTGCCAAAACTCACCCACGTGTAACACACCTTACCGTTCTATAAACCTACAGTAGCACCCCCTTCCCAATGGCCTAAGTGGCCGCGGGTTAATTGAAAAAAAAAAAAAATAATAATATGTAGTAAGGTCTCGATAATCCAAATGAGATTGGAGAAAAAGGTCATTCGGATTAGCGATTTGTTCGGATTACCTATGACTTAGAAAAAAAAATCAATTTTATTGTAATTTAAAATATGAAATTTTATTTTTATTTGTATTAATCGTGTAAAAACTCGTAATTTAAAAAGACAATGAATATTTAAAAATATTAATATAATATTATGAACTTTACTATTTAAAATATTGATTTTTTTTTTTTTTTGTACATTGGTTCCCATTATGGGTTGGTATGCCTTGTCCCACATAATTGAAAAATTTTATTACCGGAAAATATTATTTATAAATACATAGTACATACATATGTATATATTATGGCGACAAGATAATCCTCAAGCCCGCGTTCGGATTAGCCATGTTTGGATTATCGAGACCCTACTATATATTTATTTATTCATGGAGGACTAGATAGACCAATAACTTTAATTTACTATGTACAAAGAAACACATTTACGTTTGTATCTCATAGTAATAATAATTATATATATTATATTATTATATACTTATTTATAAATTATGTTTTAGGTAAATCATTGCACGAGTGTTTGTGTTTATATTTCAGACTTAAACAACTCGTATTTCAAGGTAGTAAACCTTACCAAAGTGAGGTATTGGAAAATATGTTACAAGAAACATTGGGGGCAAATACATATATGAGTGATATAAAGCATCCTAAGTAAGTGCTTTTTATTGACTAAATAGTTGTAAAATGTTTTTACTTATGTYCATAGTTACCAATTTATTTTTGAGATTAAAAAGAAATGTTGAATAATTGAATATTGTATTAAGAGGACGCTACACCTGCATGTGTTGTTTCCGTCTTACAAGTGCGTAACATTGCAAAAACTGTTTCGCGCGGGAAAGAACCGAGAAAGATACAGTTATAAGGTTATAACTGARGAACCAAATTTTCACTACATAAAAAGGAGAATTTTGTCTGTGCAATATCGTTTTAATTTTTTCGATATCACTTATGCAAAAAAAAATTCTTATTGTTTTATAATACATTAATTTTGTGTTTTTTAAGCATGAATAACTTTTTCTAGTTCTGATTTCGAAAAAATATAAACGATATTGCACAGACAAAATTCTCCTTTTTATGTGGTGAAAATTTCGTTTCTTAATTATAACTGTAGCTTTCTCGGTTCTTTCCCGCGCGAAACAGTTTTTGCAATGTTACATTCTTGTAAGACGGAGACAGCACATGCGGTTGTAGCGTCTTCTTAATGGATTTAACTATTTTGTTTGGAATATAAACAAAATTAATTTGTTTCAGAATCTTAGTCACAGGTTTGTTAGCAGACAGAAAACCTGTTGACTTGCACATTTTTCGTAATTATACATCACCAAGTGATATGATTAACCTAGATCATCCATGTGATTATCCACCTCCACCACCACCTCATGAACAATTAGCATGGAAAGCAGCAAGAGCAAGCGGTGCAGCACCTTCATATTTTAGGTAATTAATTTTTTTAAAGTTCTATTGTTTTTACTAGCTCATATGCATACACTCGTTTTTAATAAATATTAATTATGAGTACTCAAAAATGAATTTGTAATTGGAATATTTACTTAATTAAAACCAAGTCTAGTAAATTGATGTTTTTTCCATATTCAATTAGTATAAACACTATGACAAAAGATTTAATTGTTGGCTTATTCCATTTTAATAAGGGATCATTGAAATACATTTTATTTTAGTTCTTTTGTTCATTTTATTTACCACTAAAAATATATCATAAATCTTAAGTATTATGATATTAAGTTTAATTAAATTAATTTTTTTTTATGTAAAAAAAGTTTATAAAAAACCACCAATTAATTTTATACTAACTGAAACTTGATTTTTTTTTAAAATTATATTGTATTATGATACACTATATGCCAATAGCTAATTCATAGTATGTGCTTAATAATTTAAACAATACTGTATCACTTGCAGTGATATTTTTACTAAGCGGAACCCGCGGCAATATAGATCATRGAGTGATCTGATGGTATGGGGGGTGATTAGTTTTGTATATTTTTGTTTGTAGGTTTTTTAGTTGGTAAGACTGTAACACGTGTTTATATATATGTGGCAAGGATATATTGCTAAAAGTCTTGGGTGCGTGCCCACCCAAGAGCTAGTAACTGTGACTGTTACGGACGCTCAGTGGGTTTCCGCAGATTGAGTGAATGATCGCACCTCACCGAGCCACTTTTTTAAATTATTATTACTCCTTTAACATTTTTGTATGGAATTGTTTTACTAATTAACTATTTGAAATATTTTAGAATGTTTGGTCGTTTTTTGGATGGAGGATTGATTTCAAACAACCCAACTTTGGATACATTAACTGAAATTGAGGAATATAATTTAGCATTATACATTACAAATAGGGCTAATGAAATGCATGATCCAAGCCTTGTAGTTTCTGTTGGAACTGGATGCATACCCGTGACTGAGGTACATAATACTTATGGTTTTAGTTTGTATAATTGTCATTTAATTATAATGAAGTATTCAGTAATATTACTTAATATTATACTTATTATATTGTTCAATTTATTTTTATTCTAATAATATCATTTCAATACAAAATAATAATATCCTCATCATGGCATTTGGTGTTTGGTTTAGGTGAAGAACTTAGACATTTTTAAACCGAGTAGCGTAAGTGATAGCTTGCGTTTGGTGTTTGGATTCTCAGCGTTGGGACTGTTGCTCATTGACCAAGCGACTCAGTCTGATGGTCGTGTTGTAGACAGAGCAAGATCGTTGTGTTACAAAACAAAAACTGAGTTCTTTAGGTGATCATTATTTTTGCTAGCACAAGTTTGTAATTCTGAATGTTCAAACATTAATTTTTTTTTTGGTATTTAGGTTTTGCCCACAGCTATCAGAAGATATAGCTATGGACGAAAAAGATGATGTTAAACTAGTCAAGATTCTTTGGGAAACTAAAGTTGATATGGTGAGAAACAATAGTAAAGTGTGTAAACTGGCACAATTATTGAAATAGTTTTTAGGTACTTATTGTATTTAAGATATTGTATCGTTTATAATTGTTTTATCTTTTTTATTTTTTAATATTACACTTTGTAGTTTATATAATATAATATAATTTAATATATTGCTTTATATTCATAGAAATATAATATATCTATCTATTTCTAAATATTTAAATTTATTATAACAGTGCATATTATTATTATTTATTATAAACTAAAGGAATACATCATTACACTTGTGCTTTTTCTTAAATACTATGGTAACACTAGTATACATTGTTAAATGACAATAATATTATATTATATTATGTGTGCATGTATGTATATAATATTGTTTACAATATTTATATATGGATGGGGATTGCTTGACTTTAAATATTAAAACCCTCTTTAAAAAAAAAATTCATCTGCTTGACAAAGATCCAATAAAATTCTATTTGAAATAGTGATAATAGTAAATAAAATATTATAAATAACAAAAAATGTCAAGGCAGTATCACATTAATTTGGCGCAAATTTAATAATTCTTCATTTATTTACTAAACAGTGTGCTGAAATTACTATTGGACTCTGTAGTTGTCTTATTATAATACATAAACATTGGTCTATATTCGAAAAGACAATGGCTGAGAATTGTTTAAAAATATTTATATTAGTTTTTATTTTAAATTTATCTCTCGGGGTCTTATTAACACGCTGTTGTGTCTATTCCCGTCTATACAATGCAAGTCGAAACCGTCTATGTTCTTACCGATAAATATTAATAATGGTTTTACGAATAAAAAATATAGGTAGGTATGTACTAGTTACCTATCAGAACACAGTTGATTTGCCGTGAATATTGTTTATAATATACAATATTAACTACCCCGTGAATTTATGTGAAAAAGTACCTACTCTTTTTTCATTTAGTGGAATCCTCTTTAGGCGCGTAATGATATTTTGATGAATATGTTTTGCTTGTAATAATAAACCACAACTAGTTGACATTTGACGTGTACCTATCTCATAGGCGGAAATCGCAACATAATTTATATTTATAATATAATAACAGTTTGTTGGCGTTYTCATCGCTCTTCGAGGAACACAATGGTTGTTTTCTATTCAAATATTTATCTATATTGCCAAGTAGATATTCTATACAATAGTATAKCACGTTTATATTTATTACTTTTATTACTATTCGACAGTATTTTTAAAGGTAATAATATTACAATTTTTCTTTTATTCATTCKCATGGCAAATGCCTGAATCAACAACAACAACCCCCCCCCCCCGAATTCCACCAATGAATTTTATCTAAATCCTCATCAACAGTTGGACATTAATCTTACGGTATTACAATAATAACATAATTTAAGGCACCTACGTTTGTGGACAGAACGTCGTGTATCCGAATATATGCAGCACACGGCACACACGTTTGAAATGATAGTAATAAAATAACAGAAATCAAACAACACGACGGTGTAGCAAGATTGAGCAAGATGAGTGGTTGTTTTCAAACGCACGTTTCTCGGTCGACGACGTCAACGGTGTCGACCGAGGACTGCTGTCAGGAGGCGATCGTCGAACACGATCTGGTGGTGTTCTCGGTGGCCTGTTCGGGTTCGTCGTAGTGTTTGTATTCCGGTTCCCTGCGGCAGTAGAGGCACGCGAGCACGGCAAAGACGACGCCCACCAGGCCCAGGCCCACCACCGGTAACCCGTACGACCTGAGCACCTTGAACGACGGCCACTTTGTCTGGCATTCGAGGTCCGCCTCGTCCACGCCGGACGGACAGTTGCGGTGGCCGTCGCACCACAGCGTGGAGCTGATGCACGCCTCTAGCTCGGGACAGCCGTACGCGCAACCTGTGCCGCGGTGGGGGCCGCCGCCGTCGGACTGGTTCCGTTTGGACGGCGACGTCGCTTGCGCGCGTCTGGACGGCTTGGACACCTCCAGCCACTTGAACGCCATCGAACCGGCGTCCTGGGCCACAAACTCCACCATGAAGCTAGGATTCTGCTGGTCGTCGGGCACGAACGCTGWCCACTCGTCCGAAAACATATACAGCGTGTCGCGGCGGCCTTCGCGCGCTTCCGACGGGCACACATTACCGACCAGCCGGACGTCCGGCCGGATCGCGTACAGCAGTATCCGGTTCCTGGTCCGGCACGCGGCCGCCGAGGATTCGTTGACCGGGAGGAAGCGACCCCACGTCTGCACGAACATGCTGTGGCCTGGTCGGGCCTCCAGCAGCCACGGAACGTCGCGGCAGTGCAAGTCTTCTCGCGCTTCCGGAGGATAGGCAAGCTCGATCTCGCCGCCGGAACCGCGGACCCACTGCTTGCGCGGGCACGCCGGCCACCGGAACACGCGGACGTGCGCGTTGAAGTASGTGTTGGCAAAGTCGTCGGTGACACTCAGCCCGGGCACGTGGAAATGGATTTCCACACGGTCAGACGACGTGTCGAACGTCACCTGTTGCGTGCCCAACGCGGCTTCCGTGAAGTTCTGGCAGAAGCAACCGCGCTCCACTCGCACCGTCCGCCAGAACACCTCGCTCACCGCCAGTCTGGGGCCSATGTCGCCGGGTGGGCACGTGTACTTGCCGGTYACCGTCCTGGCGATAGGCTGTGGTGGCCGTTCGCGGGACCCGAACGAGGCGTTGCGAACCACGATCTGTAACCGGTAACCGGGTTCYGCCTGCAGCCGGTATACGCAGTCCACGCTCTTGGCGCCGCCCCGGCCGTACAGGAATACGTTCCGCGGTTCCGCCAGGTCCATCGACTCGCGCACTCTGTAGTCAATGACGCATTCGTGGCCGTCGGTCTCGCGGTCGTACACACTGCTGTCCACGAACTCGTAGTGTAGCCGGAATCCAAAMGGTTCCAGAACTGTTCCCAGTACCGAGTGCACCTGCAATATGACGCTGGGCGACTTTGACAGGTAGCTCTCGTCCAGTGTGCACGGCCGCTTGGGACGTGTGGCGTTCGGCGACGCAGAAGACGAAGCGTCAGCGACGGCGATGTGTTCGCACAGCCTGGGCGTGTCACAGTGATCTCCCAACAGCGTGCCGGCACCGTCCCATATCCGGAGACGGGTCGGACACGGCTTGAACGTGAGGAAATGGCCGGTGCTCCGGTGGCCGTAGCTCTCGAAGTACATCCACACCCTATCGTCGGGCAGCCCCTGAAACCTGTAAGTGCACGTGCTGTTCGGTGGAACCGCGTGTCGGGGGCTGACCAGCACGCCGCGCCGTGACTTGGGCGTGGCCGACGCGTTGACGGTGAACTCGCACGCCGGCCCCTTGGCGTAGTCCAGTGAGTCTGAGTCGACGAACGCTATGCGCACGTCCAGCTCGAAGCTCCGGAGCCGGGACACGGGCGGTGGCCACGAGAACGTGGCCGGCGAGTTGTGCACCCACGATTTGAACACGACCAGCATGACSGGCCCGCTGGCCACCACCCGTGGAAGTGCCGACCCGCCGCAATACCGCAACAGCATGGGGTCGTCCTCGGACGGCCCGTCGTGGAACACCAGCCGGTCCTCGTTCTCACTGCACATGTCGTTGACGCGTATGATAGCCGTCCCGTTGCTGTTGCCCGGTTCCACACCTTGCTGCCCCCTACCACCGCCGCCCAACCTATGCGCCTGTTGTATCGCGCTGCCCCTGCCCTGGGTCACTGAAACCATCGCGTGCTTGCACTTGGGCACCACTTTCTGTCGGATCGTGTACCGGCACGTCACGTTCCGCGGGTACATGCCCGGGTAGTTGGGAGACTGCAGCGAACACTTCTTCCGGTAGCACTCGTAGAAGTTGCGGCTGCAGTGCGTGCCGGGCACCAGCTCGCCGCGCTCCTTGGGCTCGCCCGCCGTGCCCAGCCTCACCGACGCCTGTCGGTTGTCCAAGAACTTGAACCTCAGCCCGAACGCRAACGGAAGCGTCGTGTACAGTCCGCTCACGGGTATCCGCAGCGTGAGCGTCACTGTGCCCGCCTCGCTGTAGTATACGGCGGGCGCGGCGCCGTCCGTCGGCCCGTAACCGCACCACGACCCGCCCACGTAGGGACGTCCGAGTTCGAGTATTTGCATTTCGCCGCTGATGCACTCGCCCAGATAGAGCGTGCCCAGCCGGAACTCCTCGAAAATCAGCTGAAATCATACAGAACGATCGAGGGTTTTAATACAGACAATATTATGCTTACTATATACAATATACATATAATAGGTACCTGCTGAATGTTTTATTTTTTCAAACAAAACGGACATGCAAAGTATACTAGATT